CTTACATTAGGCCCGCCCAGATAATCCAGGCAACTCTCCCCATCTCAAGGTCCTTCACTTCATTACAGCTGCGAAGTGCCTTTTGCCATGTAAGGTAACATATTCATGGCTTCATGAGATGAGGACATTTATATCTTTGGGAGGATGGCATTATTTTGCCTACCACCCTTCTTGCTATTGTTTTTTTTTTTTTTTAAATTGAGGAAGATAAAATTGTTCAGTGAATTATTACTATAATTATCATAATTTTCATCATGATAGAATCAAGGTTGAGAGGTGTGGTAGATATTTGTAAAAATGGCCACAATACTTTCTTTTCTTATATTCACAGTCTTATGTAGGCCCCTCCCACACGGACTCTGGGCTTGGCCATGTGACCTACTTTGGTCAAGGAGAAATAACAAACATGATGCAAACAGATGTTGAAAAGTGCTTGCACATTGGGATTTTCCCTCCCTTGCTAGTCTTTACACCCCTCTGACTACCATGTGAAGAAGTGAGGCCACTCTACTAAGTGATGAGACACACGTGACCCAGACACCTTTGTCATGTCACTTGGCCAATAGCCAGCGTTGGCAAGCAGCACCAATCAATTAGCAGCACAAGCCACTGACATTTGAGAGATCACCTTAAATCATCCAGTCACCAGCTAACTTGCCAGAAACCACAGGTGCCTGAGGGAGGCCAGCAGAGTGGAGCCAAGCTGGGCCAGATCAGTAGAACTGCCCACATGAGCAACAGGATCTTGAGCTAAATAAGATGTTTCGGGTGTGGTTTGTTACATAGCAAAAGACAATTAAGGCAGGAAGTGACAGGTAAAATGGAAGTCAAAGCTGAGAATAAGTTTGAACTGAAAGTTCAGTTGCCAGGGAAAAGTGACAAAGACTATCCCTTAAAGACAAAACCACAACCACAAAACTATGCAGAAGAACAGCAGAGTACATCGAGTCTGACCCTCTTTCCTCCTCCACCTTCATGTCCTCAACTCTGTGACTTTCAGGGCCACCAAGAATGCTCCAAGAGTCACTTTTATGTAATGGTACAATGTCATATTGAAAGATCTTAAACACCCCCTAATCTGATTTTTGTTTTTTTATTTTAAATAGGAAGCTCACGCCCAAAGAGGTGAATTGACTTGCCCATTTCACTTAGAAAATTTAGCATATATTTCCTTTGTTTTCAATGAAACAAATATATTTCCTGGAAACTTTTGAAAACGCTATTACATCTTACTTTCAGGAGAATGTTGTGTTTGATTTTCTTCGCATTCCCTTGTCTCCTGATAGAGTCTCTGGATGGGTGGACCTACAGTGAGAAGCTCTGTGGTAGGGAGACAGTATAACTCTTCACGGTCAGCACAGACAGAGAACCAGCTTTGAAAAGACACCTTTGCCTCAATCAAAAATGAGCCAGATATGGAGGATCCCTATCTAGCTAGCTGAGCAAAGCTACTGGCCAGGAAGAGAAGAAGTAGGGGAACCAAAGAATAAAGAAGGGTGGGAAGGAAAACTATGATTCTGTGGGCACCAACTGTTTGAAAGAAAACTTCGGAGTATTAATTTCATCATCTCTTTTCCGTTCTTAAACCCTTAGCTTCTAAAGATCAGGTGGGTGCAGACCCAAGGAGGCCTGGCCTGGCTACCTAGCAGGGGCCCTCATCCTGGGTGGTGGGGCATGCCAACGAGGTAGGACTTGCTCAAGGTCTGAGAAGCTCTGGTAGGGTTGCATTCTTATCTTCCACCTTCTCTTACATGGGGTCTACTCTCCAGCTGTGCTGGAATCCCTTGTCTCTTTCACACCTCATGCTTTTGCTCTACTGTTTCCCACATCCTGGGGTGCAATTTTCCTGCTAGTCTGCCTGCTGAGACGCAAGGATCTTCTTTTGCTTAGTTCAAGCGTTGCCTCATTGAAGACTTCTCTGACTCCTCCAGGATGAGTGAGTTGTTCCCTTCTCTGGCTTCTGAACTTTGACTCGCCCATTCATACTATGAGTTCTGCTTGGTGTGCTGACATTGTCATCTGGTGTTGCCAGAAGTTCTCACCTTTAAAGAGTTTGAGTAAATTTATTTCCAGGACTTAGTATTAGATGACATGACATGCAGCAATTACAAGTTCTTTTATATTCTATATGCAAACCTTTAGGTGATTTTCAGGGTGGCCTTACCTAAGAAACAGGCAGTTTTGCTGTTGGCCTTAAAGATTGTTCTCTGGTGCCATTAAAGAAAAGGAAATGCAAAGCAGAGTTGTGTGCACTTAGAAATATTGGATGTGAGCGAGCTCTTTGAAATGATGTTACCAATCTACTGGGAGAGACTTACCTTCTTGATGGACTGTTTTTAAAGGGGGATGATATGTATGTTTAGAAACAATGAACCCTTTCAATAACAGCTCCCCAAGACCTGCTAGCCTGATACGGTTCACAGATTCAGGAGAGATGGACCTAGCATGGTAAGGTACCAAGCATGCTGCTGCCTACTTGATATGACTGGAGGGTATTGCTTTTCAACTGAGCTGCCTTTAAATAACAGACACTTGTTCTTGGAATACCAATCAGGTGCTTTCTATGGGAAATGCATATTGCTATCAGTTCAGTTCTGCCTTTTCAACTCCCCAATCCATTTCTAATCATTGTGAAATAGCACTCTTATTCCTAAAAGGTACAATATAATGCGATTGGAAAAAAATCTTTAGAAGTGCAAGAGAGAAAGAAATTGTTTTTGTAAGATGTGTAGTAAGGCACCATTTATTAGAACCTTACCAAATAATCATATTTTGGCCTAAATTTCATCCTTGCATTAGCTATGAAAGAAAGATTTGCTATAAAAACTGATAAACAGATTCTAGTGGGCCTGAGTAACCTATTTAAGAGGACAGGCTGTTTTGAAATACTTGAGTAACAGCAACTTGGAAAAAAAATGCCAATCAAGAGGCTTTTATTCAGCAAATTAGGTGCAATTAGATATTTATTTTTCAATATATTGTTAGTATAGCTTGACATTTTGTCTACTTGGTAATAATTGCAATGAATTTGCTTTACAGTATTCTATATTTTCACCTTGTTAGCCCAAATTGCTGAGATTTTGCTGTATTTAGTCATTTTTAGGGGGAATGTTCTCAGCAAAGTTTTCTTTTTTGCTTAGACTGTAGACTATTCTCCTAAGTGTAAAATGCTGCTGAGTGTGCAAAAAGGATACAAAAGACTTCAGCAGGAAGACACTATTCACGATCATTTGAAATTGTCTATCCCTGGAAAATTCTCAAATTAGGCTTATGAAGGCAATCTAACTGAGCAAACTGCTAATTGGACAAAACAAAAGCTTATTGGCAGGGCAGGGATTTGGGCTGCACTTATCCTTGGTTCCCACCTTCCCTTAGTAGAAACACGCCTCCAGTGTCCCAGCTAGTGCTCCCCACAGGTCCTTGAGCTTGTCCTACAGCATCCTATTGGACCAGGTGCAGCACCCCAAACAGTGCTCTCATGAGGCTCCATCAGCCTTGCTGGGAACTGGACTGGAAATTAGCAACTATTCTAGCTGGTGCCTCAACATAAAAGGTTGCAAATCTGAGATCAGATGAGATTATGAGGGGTTTCCATGCCTTTGCTTTATCATACATTAGCTAAGGACTCTAATGTCTTAGATTTTTCATAAACTACAGTGCAATTAGTAGGAAAAGTTAGTACCTTAGTCAACTGAGGGTTTATGTGAGGTGATTTCAGGTGAGTAGGTGATGGACTTGGAATTTGGGATGTCTGTCTATGAGTTCGTATAGCTCCTTCTCTCTGTTCCCTAGTCTCTCTCACTCCCTTGAGACTCTAGTTCCAGTTTGTATAATTATAATTGGAATTCCCTGACTTCCAAAATGGTGTCATTCCAGCCTTCTGGTCCAGCAGGAATTTCACCACTGCTTAAACAGTTTTTTCTCTTTGCAGCTAGAACTGTTTCACGAAGCTGCATGATGCCACCAAGCCTCTGGAAGAAATGCAAAGTTTTCATGATGTAAAAGGAATAACTTATTAAAGAGAGCCCCAGTGGAGCTACTGATTTCTCTAGAGCTGAAGATTTCTCTAGAGGTCCGTTGCTTGTTTCATAACAACAGGAAACACTTTTTCTAAACAAGGAGGTTTAAAACCTCCAATGGAAGTATGCGATTAAGTCATTGGATTTTTATTTCTCTCTACCCTGCTCAATCAGCAGTGGCTGAAGCTGGTTGTTTTCAGTGAAATGAAACCTGCCTCCAAAAAATCTTCCCAGGCCAGACCTCCTGCTTTAGGTATCTGTGGGGAGCCTCCAAGATTTGAAACAATTCTTAAACTTATTTAAGAAGAGGAACAATCAGAAATCACAGCCCTTTTTTCTGAATGTGATGAAGAAATACTGGCTTATTGAGCTAAAAATAACAAAGGATAAGAGTCAGCATAAGTCAAACAGAATCTTAGAACAAACTCTGATATATACTGTTGGTAGCAGTAGCAGAGTTTAAAAAGAATTGGGAATATAAAAGAGTATCACTGAGAAATTTCTATTCATTAGTTTTTTAATTCCTCTAGGAGTCTAAGAAAAGATGGCCATTTTTCAATTTTACTGGTGGAATACCTAGACCGAGTTTTTGAAACATCAGTGTTCCAATAGGGGCATAATTTGAGTCACTGGTATAACATCGCATTAGCTGTATAACACTCTAGCAATAGTTATAATGAAATTAATGGTAACATGTGATTATGTCCTTGAACATAGTATTCAGTTTACTCTGATGGCTAGCTGTGATTTAAGGCATAGGGAACTCTGACGCCAGATTCCTCATATTTGATTTCATTCCTGGCTTAAGGGAGAAGTGACTGACGTTTGGACTCCCACTCCAGAGTCATCGCACAGTGAGTGAGCAGCCAGCATGCGCTGGTGTCACGCCTGTTCCCTGCTGAGAGAACAGAATCACTGCTAATTGAAACAGGAGAGATGATTACCAAGGCTGCAGCTTGAGAAGCAACATATACGACACCAGAGGGGAAAGGGCTATTTATTTAGAAAAGTTCACCATCAAATCACTGGACAGGATAAACAGCTCATGGAGAAAATCAACACTTATTACAATCAAAAGGGAACCCATTGTAATTTGCTGATTTCTCTAAGCACTCTCAACGTGATGTTGCACAAAACTCCCTTAGGCATCTTCCACTGGAGAAGCAACCGTGATTGTGCAAAATCCATCTCTTTTTTAGTTGATACTTCTTTCCACGGTTTTCTGAATTATATTTAGCCATAATACAGTGTATCTGATGTTAACAAGCACCCAATTTAGCATTAATTTCTCTAGATGGAAATATGAGCCATATGTTTATGTTAGTAATAGCAACACTAGGCATTTTGATCATTTTTGAGCAGATTGATATATTTTTATCTCAAAGAGGGAGTTCTGAGAGTTTGTATTCATTTTTGAAGCATCAGCAGCTTTCAGTACAGAGGCCACGTGAGTTTTATAATCTTATTTTATTTAATTTCTCTACCGGTCTGACTCTGATTAGAGGCTCAAATAAAACTGTGGTTCTTCTATGCCTCAATTATGTTCAAGTATTTCTTGTCTTTCTCCTGGCACAGCAGCCACTGCAAGGAAATGAATTGTTACAAAGTTGTAGCAGAGTAGCACTAGGTTCTTTCAGGTGACTATTACTCTAGATTTCCCGATGGTTGAGATTTTTTTTCTTAATATACTCAACCTCATTAGTAAATACATTTTCACAAGGGTGTAGAAATCCAGGAGAAGCACATCTTTCCAAGTGCTCTCTTGAACGCACATAAACAGCTTGGATTTGGGCAGCCAGCAAGGGGCACGTAAAACAAAATGAATTAAAAAAAAAAGTTGCACATAGAGTAATTTTAATCCATTCCATTTTTAAATACCACAATAGATTTAATTCTCACAATAAATTAAATAGCCATATTCAGTTTACAAAATAGAATTACTTAGTGTGAAACCAGTATTTACAACAATATACATTATGTACAGGACACTTCTCTTTGTTGACATACAACATGGAAGTAAAAGGACTTGACTTTCCAATGTGTGATTGACATGCTACAAGTGACACCATGGTCCATACGGGAAAACGATAGTGCAAAATCACCACAGGAACTCTGGAACAATGTCAGTTTCATGAGATAAGACATTCTTTGAAATAATAAGAAAATAGTATTTCCTGTTTCCACGGCACCAATTCAGTATCTGAATTAAAAAGCCAGCTTTCCCTTAGAAAAGAATGCATAACTGAATCGTCTACTTCCTGAAGCTTCACAGCCATTGGTACATTTTCACACATTAATCTTTTGGCTTAAATCTATGAAAATGGTGGGCGACAAATTCTGACTCAAAGGAAGACCAGCTCTTTGAGAACAGCTGAAGTCACTTTCCCCTAAGACCACCACCAATTCTTTTTGTAAATAGCTTAAAAGATGCAACTACGCAGACAGCAAATTCTTTTCTGTAAATTTTCAATAGAAAAAGAACTCATCTTATATTTGGTCACACACTGTGTATGTACAAGTATACACGGAAAAATGACGTGGATAGTTGTGTCTAGGAAAAGTGCATATTTTAATCTAGAGGAGACCTCGTATGTCTCCAGGCACAACACATAGTGTTGTATGACTTATTATTTTAGGGCCAGTTCAATGTCCTTCCAGTGATCTGGTAAAACTTTTGATTAAAAGGGTGAAAGAATTTGCGCAATTTGGTAACGACAGAGGGGTCCACCTCTGGATGAATGCGCCCCTTGCTGCCCGCCAGGCACTTATTAAAGATAACGTTAAATCGCAAGCAGTAAAACCCTCTGGTAGCATTGAAATATAAGTTATACTGACTTATCCTTGGGGGAAGATTTAGAAACTTCTCCACGAGCTGAAGTTCTGGTAGAGGTTCCGTGATGAGGCGATCGCCATCGACAATGTGAAATTGCTCAATTGGAAAGTATTTCAACCACCTTTCCAGATGTTTGGTGTAGATGCTGGTTCTTACCGCTTTGTATTTTGTGTTCACTTCGCAGGTATTAGGGTCTATCGCCAGCTTCTCAAACTTGTAATAAGTTTTGTTCTTCCTCTCCTTTCCCTCTAGCACCTGAGTGTAATCAGAAATAGCTCTTGTGGTTGGCTCCCTGACAATGATCAACAACTTGATGGATGAGTTCATTTTGTAAATCCTTTCTGGAACCTCCTCCGTGATAAAATATGCTGGGCTCTTTTCAATTGTGATTTGCTGAGGGTAGGAAAAAGGCATCTTTTTCCTATACCACTCAATGCCCTTGGCATAATTCTCATCATTGTCAAAAAAGTGGATTTCTTGGGAGGCTTTGACCACTGCGGGATGGAGGTTCAGCATCTCAAGCAGGGCCCTCGTGCCTCCTTTTCTCACCCCAATGATAATGGCCTTGGGGAGCTGCTGGACCAGGTCATGAAGGCGAACCTGCTCCTTGGAAGTGTTGCCCTTCCGGAACTCGTGCAGCAGGCCACGCTTAAACTGCAGGGCGCGCAGAGGGAATTCAGCCTGACTGCGGGCTCCGAATCGGCCTTCAATGGGGCAAATGGGTTGTAGCCTGAAAGCAACAGAGAGATGCTTTAAGAAGCTCATTGCAAGTAACTTCTCATTTTTCTGGTTCCCAGTCAGACTAAGACTTTAAATGCATAAATAAAACCACTGGTTCCCAGCCTGCTGCAATCCATAATGAGCATATGTTTGGGAAATTTTATTTTAAGCAACCCTTTATTAAATGGAGCACACATAATTGATGGGATTTTTTTATTAGTGCTCCTTAAAATTTTTATTCACCAAGCACTTAATTGACTACGGCGTGTACTTATGTTCACAGGACAGGACAGACAAGTGACACCAGCCATACTAATAGCCTTTTAACAGCTCACCAGTTAACATCATTTAGAAAACATGAAAGGAGGAAGATTATAATCTTCAGCTGGGAGGCCGAAGGGCAGCGAGGAGGCCCCGTCTTTTGGGTTTCACGTGGTATTATTTTCTTGCAGCTCAGTAGCACTCATATGGCCCTTAAAAATCTTTGAGATATAATCAGAAAAGAGGTCCGTCTCTGTCCTTGGCCTTTTGCACCATCAACCTACAAAATTCCAATCTTGGCTCTTGCTGAGCTTTTCATTCTCTGAGAATTTCTGCCCTTGGATTTGGGGACGGCTAGGAGAGTACTATATTTCTTCTGCCTTTCTCTCTCTATCGAAAGAGGTCAGGATTATGTTTTCACTTTGCTGAATGTAGGAACAAACCCAACTGCCATCAGCAAGTGCTGTATATCACCCACCACACCTGGGATCAGAAATCAACAAGACTTTGGCAGGGCCAGAAACCTCAGGTCCTCATTGCCAAGCCTGTTTATTTCAGGGATTCGAGCTCAGGAAGGAAGGAATGCAATGGATGGAGCCAGAAAGAAAGATTCCCACTTCAACGTTGCTCTAAATAAGGAACAACCACCTCTGCTTTTCTCAGAGAAAGATGTGGTAACAGTCACGATGATATTAGACTGGAGAGACTGTTTAATTTGGCATGGCCAATATATATGGCTGGTAAATTGAGTTTTCTTTCGGGTGTAGTCTGGAACTGAACTGGAATTCATTACAATTTCCCTAAGCTAATCTGAGAAAGCATTTTAGCCTTCTTGGTAAAAGGGTACAACATTAGTCAAAAGGGCCACTGAACGAATTCCTCCAACTGAAGCATCTCATTATCTTAATAATTTGGCGTCTCTTTCCCCCTCTCTCTGGTAATGAGGCTGCTGCTTGCTTTTCCTGAGAGACCCTAGTGTACCTTTCTTGTCTTCCGTAAGGTTTATAACTAAAGGGAGAAGGGAACAACCTCAAGGTCAGGCCAAGGCATTCTGCAGAACTGAGGGGAAACGGCTTGGCCCACGCCCTGTTTAAACAGCTATCTGTCCAATGCTTAAGGAAAAATAGAAACATAGTTCACTTTTTTGTGGTGTTTGTTTTCTATGATTTTAAAAAATTCATGCTTTTTGTGGACAACGTGAAAATCTGCAATATTATTAAAAAACCAGTTTACCACAGTTAATATTTAGAGAAACGTGAATTTTGTTTTAAAAAATTTGTCAACAGGATTAATATGCTAGAACTCTAAATGAAAGATATAAAAGTATCAACATATACACAGTCAAAGAAGTTTTAATCCTGACATTGATTGGGATATCGCAAATTCATCTTTTAGCTCTTCTTGGCTTCTGGTTGGGAATTAAGCACTAACCCCCAAGGCGTCCATTGATTGTAATGGATGAACTTCTCTTCTTGCATCTAGAATGATGCCAGTGCCATCCTTGAGAGAACTGAGGAAACAGTCAATCAAATCCTTTTCTGTAGGACTTCATTCTCTCACAGAACCCTGGCAGAGAGAGGCTGAAAGAGACCATCTCTGCCCTGTTTGCACTGGATGGAATTTCCCTACCTTCTTTTCCTTCCTTCCTTCCTTCCTCTTTCTACCTTCTACCCTGGGGACTCATACCCTACAGAACAATTGCTTTTTGGACTCAAGACAGGAGAAAGTATCACATTATTTCTACTTCCTGAAGAGTGGATTCTGAGCAGCGGCCCCAGATTAAAAAACACGGAATCTCAGGATTGGAATGGACAGTAGAAGGGACTGAGCTCAGTCTCCCACCCAGAGAGCAGGGTCTTCAGTTCCTAAAGGACAGGACTAGGTAAGCACGTGTCAACTGCAGACATAACTACTCAAACTCTCAAGCGAGAGGTTTCGTGAAAGCTCCTCAAGCAGTCCCATTCCTGGGGCGAGCTATCCCATTAGAGACTGCAGACTGGGCTACAAACGTGTTGACTAGGAGCCGGCCCCGAGGCTGAGTGGTTAAGTTTGCGCGCTCTGCTTGGGCCGCCCAGGGTTTCGCCGGTTCGGATCCTGGGTGCAGACATGGCACCACTTGGCATGCCATGCTGCGGTAGGTGTCACACATATAAAGCAGAGGAAGATGGGCACGGATGTTAGCTCAGGGCCAGTCTTCCTCAGCAAAAAGAGGAGGATTGGCAGCAGTTAGCTCAGGGCTAATCTTCCTCCAAAAAAAAAATTTCCATTATGGACATAAGATAATGGCACCACCTCAAGGCTTTTCACTAACAATCAAGCACTAAGGTGGGAAGCCATGAGGTCAGAGATAAGCTCTGGATCATACTGTTTCCCAGAGTTAGCAACTAGTGAGTGGGAAGTTTACTCCGGAATTTTGAACTGAAAAGAGTTGTGGGAGTTCCATTTACCAGTCCAAATTGACCTGGCGGAAGGAAAACAAGCACCATTGCTACATTAGTTGTTCATATCCGAGTGACACAGTCTACAGATTAGAAAAGGAAAACTGTAAGGAAGATATTTTTGTTTTAACGTGCGGCTGCATTTTCACAGAAAATGGGAATCGAATTCATGGAGAATATACTTCAGTCGTTCCAGTGCAAGGATTAATTTTAAAGGGCAGAGAAGGAAGCTTCGCATTTCAGATATTAACTTTTTTGTCCTTTCCAATCACACGGGATGTGGGACAGTCCAGAAGTATTCAACGTGAAGCCAGCTGATATTGCTGCGAAGTGTGCAGGTCTAGTACCGCTCAACTGTTTGCTTATTTAGAGCCAAAGCCTAGCTCTGTAAATTTCCTCTCCATAGATTTTTCCATTGCTTTCTGGGCAATTACTCTGAGCGACAGCCTCCTTGTCTGATACATTCAGCTCCTGGAAACCAGAGCTAATTAACATAGTTAAAACTCCCCAAGCCTACAGCCATCTTTCCAGGGCGATGGATTCCAAACTTGATGAGCTCCTTTACAGGCTCATACATAACTCTCCTGGTAGCACATTAATTGCGCACTCATAAATTTCAAAATGAAGATACATAAATACATCATCGCTATTTTGCTACGGCTAGAGGTCAACAACCACATGCACACAGACCGTGCTGAGCTCCAGTAAATGGCATTTTTACTGTACACGGCTTTATCTCCTCTCTGAAAACAAATGTCAATGCACGCAGAATACAAATGGATCTTGAGGAACATCTTGGCTTGAGCAACTTGGATCTCTTTCTTTTAAAGGCTTGATAATCAAAATTAACACTGCAGAAAAGCATGTTTCTTAGGAATTTCAAGGGAGGAAAACAAATGGGTAGATTTAAAATTATGCCCTGAGGAAGTTTAAATCAAGAGACACTTAAAGTCACACGGGCATAAACATGTGTTTAATCACCTACCTATCCAAGCTCCCAACTCTGGCGACCAGATACAGGAGACTCCCAACGGCAAGGCTTCCCAGCACCAGCAGCTTCTGTCTCAGCCACGCCTGCTGTTTGAATAGCATGGCCCTCCATCAACCTTCAGGACTTCTGCAGCCTGAGAGACGGGGATAGACAGAAGGGGGCTCATCAGCAGTCATCTCTTATAGGCTCTGTTGATTGTCACAAAGCCAAGCAGAGGTAGGAATACAGGTGACTAAGTGATGCCACCTGAGGAACAGATTCATACCAACCTTGACAACGTTCATGGTGTAACAGGTATTTAGTGAAACTTACCTTCCTTTTTGCTGGACTGTCTTATAAGATCAAATACTAAACTAAGGGAAGACGCTAACTAGACAGAAACTGCTAGGCAATTGTCAAAGTAAATTAACACACATATATTAGAACATACATATTATATATGTATGTCTGTAGATATATATACATTTGTTGTTGTTAATCATTCAAAGAACACTGATAAAATGAGCAACTGAGCAACCTAAAGTTACCAGCAGGGTAACCAGTACTGTAAGTCCTGCTTCATCATAACAGCACAAATGGAGAAATTGAAATGCCAGTTCAGTAAGTTACCATTTGGGGTATAACCACGACATATTTTGCCTACATGTTTTTGTTTTGTTCTTGTTGTGAATGGAGGAATGGAGCAAGATCACAAGCTATTTCTTTACTTACCGAGGTTATCTCTGGTAACTATCATGACTTCAAATGTCTGAGAACAGTAGCTCCAAGTACCTGATGTTTCCCTTCACCTCCTCTGCCCGGTCCTGGATTGGACTGACTGATTCTGAAAACATGCTCAGACTAGATGCCCCTGCTACGCGACCCCTCCTGGCTCTCAATGAATTTAAACAGGTTTGGTGATAGGGGTCTCGCCTTACATCACAGCAGAAGCTTACCTGGAAGCTTTGTACTCTTATACCTGAAATAAAGGCCAGCTGAGGAGCATAAGGCTTTACTAGTGCTGTTATTAAATTTGGGGGAAAAAAATGCAAGCTTCCAATTCAGCTTTTCTTATTAAAAATAAATCCAATCCCTCTTTCAAGATAAGATTGCTTGTTTCTTATTGAAACTCCAAATAGTAACCAGAGAGGAGGGACCACAGCAACGGGTCATGGTTAGAAACTGTTTTGCTGTAATGGTATCTCTATATTTGCCATGTGAAGATTTTCTCTGTGCAAAAGGAATATGCTAGGATTGATTGAGTGACCTGTTCATTCATTCATCAAGAAATTCCTGAGCACTGACAGCATTTCCAGCTATTCTACTAGGTTTATAGGGATCCCCAAAAAGATCCTGAAAGAGTTTTAGCCCTTGGAAAACTAATAATGTGATTAGGGAATTGTGAAACAACCAGGGAACCCAACCTAATTCATGACAATGTAATGAATAAATATTGGGGAAAGAAAATGAAGGAAATGGTCAGGGATGTCGGCTCCACAGGAATGCTTTTTTTGTGGAATGTCGTTCACGATTTGGTGAGGAAACTGTAGGAGGGCATCTCAAAAGGGAGAGAGAAGAGGAGCATTCATCCCCAACACACAGTCAACAAATACTTATGGAACATGCCTAGGTGCTAGATTCTATACTGGGTGCTACAGAGATAGTGACTAGCATGGGAGTCTATAGTCTAGTGGAGAAGACAGATAATAAACCAGTAAATATAGGATTCACAGATACCTACAAATTGTAATAACAAAGGGAAATCATAGGCTGCAGGGAGAAAGAATAATGGGAGGAACCTACTTCAGTCCTTCCTGAAGAAGCGACACTTGGGCTGACACCTGGAGCATGAGAAGCCAGGAGGGCAGGAGCAGGGCCAAGTGGGTTTCAGGCAGAGGAAGCAGCATGCATAAAAGTACTGAGGAGGGAAAATGCCCTGCTAGTTTGAGAAGTGATGGAAGGCCGGTGTGGCTGGACACAGGGATTGAAGGGAAGAGAGAAGGCTAAGAGCAAAAGCAAAGAGTAGGCAATAAGAAGGGTCTTTGCAGGGAGTGGGTGAGCCTGAGGTTCTGACTTGGCATGGCATGCCTTGTGTATAAGTAAAATGGGGAAGAATAGGGAGAGAGAAAATGAGGTTTTTAGAGGGCTATGTGACAAGGACATTGTCCAGGTGATATTTCAGGAAATTCTCAGAAAAAACCCTATGCATCAGATAGAGTTATTTCCACTTTATCGACAGGTAAAGTGAAGCTCAGATAATTTTCTCTAACTTGCCTGTGATCACGTGAAGGCAAAGGCAGTCACTTATGCAGCATGATTCAGGGCTTCACTGCCAGACTCTATCTCCCTTCTCCAGGCTGATGTCCGACATCCTGGGTTAGAGCCACATGCCCTCAGCACAGGGCTCTGAGCCCTGGTGAAATGCAGGTACCACAGCAAGATGCAGAACAGGGTGGCAGAAAGAAACCTGTGTTCAAGACCCCCAACCATATTCTCCCCTTAGTAGCTCTGTAATCTTAAGATGGCTGCTTAGATTATCTGGGCCTTCCTTCCCCTATCTATAAAATGGGGACAATCTCTGACCTCCCCACTCCATAGGGCTGTAGTGAGAATGAAATGAGGTTTCCATAGTAACATCACTATCCAAAGGTTTAGGAACATGCCAGATTAACATAAAGGATTATGTGTCATTTCTATCTTAGCGTGAATGGATTGAATGTGGATTCACAAGCGGTGTGAAAGAATAATAGCTGTTACTGTATTTGGTTGAAGAGAGCCAGCTATAAATGGAAGAGATGGCAAAAGTAAAGGTAAAATATGGTTGCCCTGTGGTCTTAATGTGGGTCACCGTCTTCGTAGAGAGCTGCAGCTCGGAGGGAGACTGGGGCAGTTGTCTGGCCTCCTCAGCTGTCTAAACGTAGACCCACACTCTCCCGCTCAAAACTATACTACACAAGGCTTTGTCCACTTTCTCCAGCTCATTGGTCCACCTGTCTGTCTTTAGCTACAGTTCACCCGTTGTTTAAGGTCTAGGATAGGTCCCAGTTCCTCTACGAAGCCCTCTCCAGCTGATGCCCCAGTCCACAGTCCTCTCCCTCCTCCAGTGAATCCCTGTTGTTCTTGCAGTCAGAACCGCAGGAAGGCATTCCATGGTTTGTAAGTGTTGGGTTAGTGTTAGCTGCTGCCTTCTGTGAGTATCACGTCTCCTAGCAATGGGCTAAACCTGCTGACTGACTCAGAGGCACAAGAAAGCTAACTGAATGGTAGTGACCCCAGAATCTGTCTGCTTTGCTCTATTGGCTAGCAGTTCTCTATGGTGAGCGTGTAGAACATTTAGAAAACACACCCCTGCCACCACTCTCAGAGACTCCAAGTCAATGGGTCTGTATTCATTGTGCATCTGTGCTTTTACAGTGGAGCAAATGGTACACAAAACTTAAAATCATTTTCTACTGTCTTTTTTCTCTTCAGTCACCACGGACAATAAACTCTTTCTCCTTAATTTCTCCTTGTCTTGTTCTGTCAAGGCACTTGGTGCCTCCCTTATTTCTTAACATTTGGGTGTGGCTTTGTGTTCATTTCCTATGGCCTGTACAATCTGATTAGTCTTCCTAATACAAGTTATTTTGTCCCTTATTTGGTTTCGGTTGTTCACCGGATCAAGTCCAACCTCTTTCTCTTGATAGCCCAGGCCTTCCTCTGAGGCCCGAGCTTGGGTGGTCAGCTGCTTTCCCTCTTACTACTCACCAACACTGGGCTCAGTGTCCTTCAGGTTGGCCTCTTTACTGCCCCCCATTCCCCTTCACTCTCATCTCTATGCTTTTGTTGGCTCCCTTGCTGGCCTGGAATGTCTTTCCTACATCTCCTCTTTCAAGACTCCAGATCCTATTAATATCTCCTTGGGGAGGGTGATCCTGACTGATGTGGAATTTGGGGGAAAAAAATACCAATACACTTGCTGTTGGTGAGGAGTAATGGGTCAGGTCCATTAGGCAGTAATGGGTTAGGTTCTTAATTACAGGACCGAAGAGTAAGAGCTGGGCTCAGGGAGAACACTTGGGACACACGTGCTCATAGGGGATGAGCGAGCTATGAAGCAACCACATCGTTGAACTCTGCCAAGTTTGGCAGGCAGGAAAAAGAAGAAAAAAATGACTGAGGATGTGAAGGCTGCTGAGGAAGTAGCCCAAGATTTAGGAGAATATCGCAACAAAGCTATCACGCCATCTATGCAATGCACATGTTGTCTGGAAAACAGTAGTTATTGAATCTGACTGAATATGAGATCATTATTTTTTCTACTTCCACTGAGGATCTTCCCTTCTCAAAGGCTCCAATATTTTCAACCATAGATTCTCCCTTTATGATAAGTCCAGTTCTTACCATGGAGGTTTTGCTCTGTGGGATAAGCAACTCCTCCCAGTCTAGCTTCTTCATGCCTGAGATGCCTGAAAGGCACCCACTGAGGATTTCTCTCTTTGGGAGACCTCATTTCTCCAGTCTTTTGTTTGTAGGGCTGGCTTAACTCCTTATACTGCCTCCTCTACTTATGGGAAGTCCATTTCACCTTCCAAAGCATCCTCATGTCTACTGTGATGCTGAGGAGAGCTAAAACTTTTATTTGAGATCTCAACTAATATGAATGAGTCATCCATGGGGAAGTGCAAAGACAACTCGATTGGGAGTCAAAGACCTTGAGTCACACTTTGGTTTAGTTTTGTAATTGAAACTTTCTGAATTTTGGTATCCTCATCTGTAAAATGAAAATAATGTCTATCCCAGAGGGTTGTTATGACATGAGGCTTGAGTAACACACTGTGCAATAGAACTTTATGAACATCTGGGCACTTTACAAAAATGAAGCATAATTAATATCTTCAGGAGGCTGATAAATTCATCCTTGCAATGCATTTTAAAGAGGAAAAGGAAAAGTAAATGCAGTTCTCATTAATAGTACAATTGGATTGTGAAAAATATGTCCATTTTTAATATAAACAACTTTTAATGGAAACCTGTTAGCATTAGAATGCAAACACTATATTTTCTGTACAAAACAAGATGGCACAATTACCAAAAACGAAAATACAGAGTGAAGACTATCTTGTTAGGCTGAAATCTCTTGGAATTTTTGAGAAATGAAGAAGCCAAGCCAGT